CCCACCCCCCCAAACAAGACGTCTCACCATGGTTCCAGAGTTCTTGGTGGACCTGGTAAAACTGTGGACTCATCTCTTCCAACTCGCTCCGGATTCGGATCGCTCGTCCTCCGACACACCACCGTTCCGCTTCGCTTCGGCGCCTCCGGCCGCGCGGAGACGGTCTGGGCTCTCCCGACTGGCTTCGCTCCGACTCAAAGGACTCCCTCGTGCCCTCGGAGCAAAGGCATGCGCGGTGGAGTGACGACGGCGGCGAGCCGGGAGGTGTGAAGGAGGTGGAAAACTCTTCTCAGGAGGTGATTGCTTTGGAATTGCTGTGTATGTATATAAATATCGGTTTTATACGTGCTGTAAAACATATTATATATATATATTTAAATATGTGTGAGTTCTTTTTTCCAAACGGGGGACCACCAGTCTGCGCATTGTCTATGTTTCTGCATTAGGCACCCTGCCTGAATGTTCTTTGTCTGTGTGCAACATAAACTCTCCACTATTGTCTGCCTTCATGCCATATGCATCTGAAAGGTAAAAACAACTAATTTTGAAGGGTATAAAATGCTATAAGAAAAATGACATTAAATGAATATAAATTACGACAAAATTGGAAACACATAATTGTAATCTAAAATGTAATATGTTGTAGTTAAATTTAAATTGGAATATAATCTTCATGAATCTTCCATGAGCTGCCCTTGAGTCAAAAAAACGTCTTTGCAGTCCAGTCAGTGAAGAGTTCAAACCTTGAGCAACAAATGAAGCCAAGAAAACTGTACTCTCACAATCTTCCGCACTCCAAAAACGTCCTTTCAATTTTGTGTTGTTGTTTTGATGACTTTTGATGTACCAGTAATTAAACAAAGTGGGAAAAGAGTCGTATGTTTCTTTTTTGACCAGTGAAAACGGAGCAACTTCGAAAAGAAGCCACCCAAATCGTTCAAAGGTCACAACTGAACCGAGAAGCTCACTTCTTCTCACTTCTCTCACTAGGCAAGTTCCCTTCCTCCAACAACAACCACAAATGCCGTTGACCTGGGGCTCCCCGACATTGTCCACCTTATGCGCCCAGCGGTCGTGGTTCTTGGGGAAGTTCATCCCCTGCGGGGCCGTCAGATCCAAGAAGAGAGCGGCGAAGGGAAGTACCCCATAAACCCTTGAGAGTTAATCGCTGGTGAAGGTTGAAGACCTGGACTTCCGAAGACCAACTCTGTCTTTATTTTTTTTTTGTGTGTGTGTCCCGGTTCATTTGCAGGGGAGTACGGCTTGGAACCTGGCCTGTTTCAACTACGTGGGCCAGGTTTCAAGCTAATCCTGAAAGTCATTGGAATGAACATATGATAACATAGTGATACACAGTGCAAGTAAGGGTTTCAACTCCACTAGTTCTACAAATGGTTAGGGCTTCGAAATGCCATGAAATTCAGGGCTGTGAGGGTCGAAAGCACATCGTCTTCGCTCACAACATGATACCAGGCTCCACCAGGCTGCTGCGGCTTCAAAGCAACCCAACATGGAATTCTGGAGGATTCGCACACCACACACAAGGCCACACTCCCAGGTGATACTGTGACCCTTCTGTTCCACTGTCGCGAAAGAAAACAGGGTGCTAACAGGGCATCTCTTGTTCCTCTCGGAGCAGTTCCAACAGGTTCCTGTGCTGCATCGAGCCACCACACGGCCACCTGCAGGAGGCGCAACCTTTTTCCTTCCGGGCGGCCGCTTTTGGGTCCAGCAACCGGCATCCGCTTTACAATGGTGATGCACCGCGGCGCAAGGGTCTCGACGCTCGTGTGTCACTCTGATGGATCTGAAGCTGGATCTCTTCAACCCACGAGGCCATCCATGAGACCACCTGGCCACCCACTGCTGGGCCGTTGCACGACGGTATTGGCCAAACGAGATCGCTCCGAACCAGGAACTCAGGCTGTGGCGAGTCGATCGCAAAAACTTGTCCCTGCCAGAACTATGCAGACTGCTACGCAGACTGCTAATTATGCAAAATGCTATGTATACCAAGATCCATCAGGTTTACCCCATCTTTCCCCAACTCCCCAACCGGAAGCAGCCAAATCCATTGGACGGCTTTCTGGACTGGTGCGTTTTGCAGTTGCAAAAGAGACACGTGATGGGTTTCCCTATGGTTTCCCAACCAAATTGTCTCTATAGGTGAGCCGTGTTTTTTCTAAAGGAACAAGTGCCTATGCTGAGCTCTATGTGAGAAACAAACAAGACTCTCCTGAAAAAAAAAGTAAAACATGGAAACCAATGGAAACTGTGAAAACCCCCCCAAAACCACGTGGACATGTGTCTTCGGAACATGGTCTTCAACCACCACCCGATCCCCAGGCGTTTTGAGTCCAGAAAAATGCCGATCTTTCATGCTGTGGTAAGAATATATATTGCAATGAACCATCAGCAGGAGCGAGAGAGAGAGAGAGACACAGAGAGAGAGAGAGAGAGAATACAGTAGGAGAATAGAACCTCAACGATAAAGAACAACATGGCAAAACAATAAAATTCACCATTAATATCTTCATTCAAATCCAAATATTCAATGTGGAAAATATGGACAAGAACAAAACAGGACATGATTCAAAGTAGGGCCAACATTCGATTCCCCCGAAACAAAAGAGTCTGAGCCTGGACAACTTGGAGCGAGGCAAGCTATACAAAGCGGATGTCGCCAGCCACAAGCGACGCGACGCGAAGCTACGCAAATGTTGAGGGTTTCATCTAAAGGTTCAGCACTCCTTGTGGCTGGCAATGCGGATAATGCACGAAAAACTCCGGCACCCAGAGAATCTTCAAAACATGGGCCGGTCGTTCTTCGGAATTGGCCGACAGAATTCGCACCAGGTCGTTGTTCCACGAACAGCAGGTCGTTGGAGATGTCTTTGCTCAACGTGTGCGCGAACGAGAGGAGGGAACACCTTGCTCTGTTCAGAGGGAACACCTTGCTCTGTTCAGAGGGAACACCTACGTGGTTCACTCCTGATGTTTCACCGCGCATATGGTTGATGGAGATGTCTTCCTCATGCAAGATAGAAGATACGATTTATATAAGTTCTATATATCCATTGACAGTCTTCACTGGTATGCAGGGAGTCATCGTTAGTCTTCTCTCGGTCAGTCATACCGTCCCATCTGGGAGGAGTCCGACTCATCCACTTCTTCAAACAAACCCACCGACGAACACGTGGCTTTTGTTTGTTTAAGGGGTGGTTAGCCTTCAAGGGGTGGTTAATGGACACCCCGAATCACAGCGTTTCGGGGCTATAAATAGACACCACTTGGAGGGTCCTGGATGTTGTTCTTACTTTTCCGTTGGAAGAAGGGGACCTGTCAACCAGTGTATCTGGAGTCGAGTTGTTCATTCTACTGGGGGGTGGAACAGCAGGTCTTCCCAGTCCAATACCCATGTAGCTTTGTAGTCTACCCAAGTACTACAAAGGGTTGACACAAAGCAATGCACTGTTATGCCACCTCTGGTACGCCGTACTGTAGGCCAATTGAGATGCTGGGGAACGACCATGAGCTTCGAGCAACGGGGCCTGGAACGGCCTAGAGTTGTCGAAGGACAGTTCCACAGCCAAACGCGCCCAGGATCTATTGTCCCCACGCTGTAAGTGTCCAACTGTCTCTTTAGGACTGTCGTTTTGGGGCAAAGATGGCGCCTCTCTCGCCACACAGAATACAATGGATATACAGCAACACGCCCGCTGGTCACAAAAAGAGTCGTGACGATCAGGGTTCGAGGGTGCACACGCTGTCAGCAAAACACCCCCACCTAGAGCATCAAGAACCTGTAAAAGTCTCATTTCTGATCGTTTGGCTGAACACATACATTTAAAGAAAAACACATGGTGTTTTCAGAAAGCACAGTGTTTTGAAAAACCCGTAGAGAAACCCGTCGTACCCCGCAAAAACCCATGACTAAAACTGACATAATGCTTTCCTTGGGGTATGACATTGTTGAAGGTCTGGGTTCCTCTAAGCAGCAAGTTCTTTAGTGTGACCTCTGGCGTTGTTTCCAAAGTGCTGATTCACTGCTGACTCCCTCAGTTTGCCTGGAACATACAGGTTAATTGTGTTTTCAACTCTTCATTTGGGCGCATGTTTCGATTGGGGAAAGGACATCCCCCAAAAAATGGTTAAAGGCCTATCCCCGTTTTCCTGGGGGGGACTGGGGGATGTTCCGCAGTCAAAGATGCAATATATATATATATATATCGCTTCACTGATAAGCCTTGTAAAAGTCCCGACTTCTCCACGGGGGATATTTTCTGGGCCAATCATAAAATAGATCGATCATTGGAACAAATCATACTCTCCCTGGAACTCACATGGTTACGTGGAACTTACCACCTGTTTTGTAGTGGATTTCATTGTCTTCCTTCCGGGGCCATTCTCCATGTAACCATGTTAGTTCTAGGGAGTGTACCCTTTTAATCCCTTTTAATCTCTTTTGTCAGGTTCGGTTGGACCGAAAGCAACCGAACGCCGCACCCGCTTCTTCAGTTTGCCAGTTCACGACCGTCTTTTTGAGGATGCAGGCCAGCTTACAGGCAACCTCAAAGCAGATGCCTTCCAAAAGATGAACCACGCATGTTGATGCCTTCCACATCAACAACACCACACAGATTTGTGAACTCTTGGAGGAAGACAACTTAGCAGTAGTGATACAAATCTACAAGATCAAGATTGGGCTAAGGACTTCATGGTGGAAAACGTCTGTCCATCATGTCCTTCGTTATCAGGAACCTTCTTGGAACCCTCCGTTCCCAGCAGTGTGAAAACGACCCGAACTGCGGCAGCAGTTTGACTCTTTGACATTCTTTTTCTGGTCTACCCACTACCATCCAACACAAGGTCGACAGTTCATAACAGCTGCCCTGCTTGTTTCAGGTTCTTTCACGCCACCTCCATCGTTCGTTCGTTCGTTCTGTGGGGTCCATGACCCTCGACCTACCCATCAACCTACCCATCTGGTCAACCCATCTGGTCAATGCACCGGTCAACTCTGCCCCAGGTCAAACAGACTCTTACAACGTCTTCAGGCGCCGGGTGCACGACCAATCCTGAACAAGCTCACAGCAGGCAGCGACTGCTACGGTGTGTACGAAGTGTCAGGCGTGGTGCGAGAGAAAACAAAAAAACGGAACCTTTGGAAGGCTGTTGAAACATGGACATCTTACATAAAAAAAGAAAACAAACACACACACACAAAAAAAAACACACAACAACAACAAGAAGAACAAGAACAATAACAAGAACAAGAACCACGACAACCACAACGACAACAACAACAGCAACAGCAACAGCAACAGCAACCACCACCACGACGACAACAACAACGATAACAACCACCAACACCAACAACAATAACAACAATAACGACCACAACAACAACAACAAATCTTCCGTGGGGGGGGTTGTAGTGTCAGTTTATTCAAAACTGAGGACTCCCCATGCCATGCCACTCTTCTACTACTCCCCATCGCTTGAGGACCCAAGATTTCTCAGGTCCCAATGGGGCTAGTCTTCCGAAATCCTCCAGAAGTATACATGTTCCTACATTCCCCACGATTCATCGAGAATATTTGAGTTCACCCAGTGTGTTCAAACCACAGGTAGTGTAACAGGTTTGAACACAGTTCTGAAACCAATATGATCAACACCAACCATATGCCATATGCCACACATGATCTGATGTTGCCATGAACCTTTTCCACCATCACCACACTGACCCTACTCTGTGCCAGCGACCCGTGAGGCCTCTGACAGACTCCTGAAAAAAAACACACCAAACACATCTGCTGTTGGCAAGGTGTTGCGGTTGTTGAACCGCAACGTGTTGCAGTTGGTCGCCACGCCTGTCCATGCAGTGCAAAGTGTTTCACGGCTCGAACCGTCTCATCCGAGGAAGTCCACCTCGACCTGGCGATGCGTTCGTGCTCGGATCAAGCGTAGGGGGCCATGTGGAAATCGAGAATCATAGAGAGGGAGGAATGGGGGGAGGGCTGCCAGGACCATGTTCTACCGAACTTGATTGTAGATGAAAAGGGGTGTCGGTATTGTAGTAAAAGGGCATTTCTATTGGGTATTAATGGTATATTATATACAGTGTTGGTGTGAATGTGTGAGCTTTGTATAGGGGGAACTTGTATATGGCGCCCATAGAGACATTATACCGTCGACGTGTTTCACTTGGACCGCGCAACGAGAGAGATAGTACATAAGCCAGCGTCAAAATTAGAGGTTGGGGCTGTATTCATAGGTAAATTAGGGTGTCCCCTATATAGGGCATATTTAGGGTGTCCCCCTGGTGGCCGGAGGGGCCTGGGGCCTGGTCGCAGGCCGCCATCCATCCATCCATCCATCCATCCATCCATCGAACGGTCATCGTGATGTTCCTGTTGATCGACTGTCACAGGTGGTCCTGGGGGTACCCTCCCTGAAACAATCATGTTACAGCCTGTTCATACCGGGGACATGTTCCACGTAACCATGTTTGTTGGGTGGAGGACAACCCCCCCAGGCCATCGATGGGTCAAATCTGATCAAATCTGGATGTGCTCCTCGACCGAACAAACTCTCTGGTGGCAGGCTGTGGTGGTGATCGAGTGTCCAGGCCTCGTTGTAAATTGATGCTCTGCTGAATTCCAAGTGGCCCCCAGTGTCTGACAGTGGTGACTCAAATTGGAACCCAACACTTTGGTGGCCAAAGTGTTGAAGGTCATGACTCATCAACAGCATAAATCAATCTTGACGACCTCCAAAAGGCGTAACTACTGTTGAAGCCAAACCTTTCCCGAACACCATCTCCTTTGGGGAACAGGCGGCTTTGCGCAATTGCTTTGTGCTAATTGCTTGGTGCAATGATTTCTCCAAATGTGGAACTGGCTGTGGGTGGGGCTTGTCTCAGTCTCTTCGGTGGCGTACAGATCCTTGCGACATGGTCTAGGCATTTGTACCGTCCATAAATTTCCTGCAGCCCAGCCCAGTCTCGGCAAACATGCCCGGGTGACGGAAATCTCGCATCCCTTTCCATCCACAGACTGCTTAAAGTCCCAGTCAGCCTCCTCTCCTACAGCGGGAATGTTGAGATTCAATATGGACCAAACCGGATCCGATGTATTCTCTAGTCACAATGTTGGGGCTCTCTTGGGGACATTGGTGAATTTAAGATGTCGACTTAACTTCCTCAGCACAACCGGAAGGACCCCAACCGCTAAGGGGCTTAGTGGAGCATCTAAAGGCCTCAACTGCTTCGCTGAGTCCTAAGAAACGCTTAGCACCCCAAAGCTCTTTAAAGATTCCCCTCCCTGAAATCATCATGGGCCAACGTGGATGGCATGGCTGGACCCTGAAATCCGAATACCGTGAAAACCGGTGGTGAGCTCCCTCCACGTTGGCCCATGATGATTCCAATGGAGCCCCGTTGTCTGTTCTTTTAACGCTCCAAAGGATTGGTCCTATTCTGCGCCTACCCGTCGCCGATGCGCAACACATGGACAGCTGGAGGCGCCCAGTTGCCCACAGCTCCGGAGATCTGATCCGAGACAACAAGCACCACCGTAAAAGAGTGAGACAGCTGTTAATGTGATTATGGATGAATTAATACATATCACGACCTGAGACCCCGATAAGGTAACCCCTTGGCTTCGCAAAAAGAAACTCAAGAAAATTCCCCTGAGGGCTACCTTTTGTGATTTCTTGATGGGGGTGAATACCAAAGATTCCGCGCCATTGGTAACTTAGCTCCTATACCCTCCGTGGAACTAACATGGAAGTGAACAAATTGCCTCCATGGAAACACATTTATATTGGTTGTCCATATCCATGTTAGGAAAAGTAGCTCCTTTGCTTGGGAATCCTGTGATGCGGACAACTCATCTGGAAGACGACTCATCTTCAGTGGACCGAGTCCGATTCCTACACCATCCGCAGATGCGCCTTCAGCCCTGTGACCTCCGCGCCTTAGGCGCCGACCTGTCGGGACCTGTATTCTAGGGGGACAGCCAGCCCGGCCGGCGTAGACTGGTCTTTCCTTCTTCCTACCAGGTGGTCTTCGGAAGGCCTCGGGCCTCGGCCCATCCTGCTTTGGAGATTTACAAAACACCCGAACTGATAAAAACACCCGAACTACTGATGAAAAATGGTTGTCTTGCTTCCTCCAACTTTTTGTCCCTCTTGGTCCATACACACCCCATGTCCATGTCCGAGCAAGGAGCCATTCCGGAGCGGACAGCAGGTCTTGTCTACGAAGTTGTGCACGATGGGCGTCGGGTTCGTTTGTCCTTGGGCTTCGACTGCGACAGCCCGCAGTAGGCTACGGCTACGGCTATGGGTGTGTCTCAAATGGCACATGCCGAGCTGATTTGGCTGGGAAGGAACACCACTTAAGTGGTAAAGATTCTCATGGTTTTCTCACCCCAAGCCATCCATGTATATACAGAGTATTTACCTACATTGACCCGTGAAACATCCACCCCTTTTGTATGGCAAATATTCCAGTCTCATGGATCGTTAGAGCAAGCAATGCTATGGTAAAACAAAGGGAGCCCCTTCAAAGTTACACTCCCGAGTCAACTAACATAGACCCTGACGTCCTGGTCCCATGGAAGATGATTTTCCTCTACCAACCAGGGGTTGTCAGGTTCCATGTTAGTCTTCCAGGGTGTACCAAATAACATCTATACTAGAACTTGTAACATTGCTGAGAACATTGTCACCCAGTGGTAACATCCCGATGAACACTGCCCATGGTCACTGAAACACAATCCCAGTCTATATCCTCGCTGTCAGTCGGTGCCATGTTCTCATACCAAGAAACTACAGCCGGGGTCCCCCGATTGAACCAGTCACCTACCGAGGCTCTCGGTGGCGCCGCCTCACTACAAGCCCGACTCGACCGGAGACTACAGACCGATGGCCGGTGACCTTGTGGGCCGCTTTGTGACTTGTAGTTTCGATCCACAGGAGGGTGTGTATCAACCCGCTTAAGCCCATTGATGAGCTTCAAACCACAAGCGTGTCAGCTGGTGAATAAGGATCCGCTGGCACGCGGATGTTTCCAGTGCTTAGTGAATACGTAGCTGCAATCCAAGAAGGAAAGCGACAAATTCAAAGGAAAACAAACAGATTGCAGCTACGTATTGGATGCAAAACATCAGTGAAGGAACATTGGATTGGATTGTTTGGAAGGTAAACTTGGTGAATACACGTTGTGTTTGGATCTTCACAAACAAACAAAATTGGTGGAGCCATTTTTTTGGGGGGACAAAAACACCTGATGCGTTTCTCGGCACCTGTACGTGCGGAACACGTGAACACACCCAAAAACAACACGGCCTACCACCTATACATCCTACTAGACTATCCTGAAAGCAGGTGAGAATCCGTAATCACCACGGACCGCACCGCACTGGGTGTACGTCCACCGAGGCACTGCCAATGCCATGTCCCATGGAGATGCTGAAGACGGCGTTCGCCACCTGTGGAGATGCTGAAGTTCCGTTGACCTGGTGACCTGGAGCGGCACCTCCCTGCAACAAACAAGGAAGTGGAGAACCCCCCCGGTTGGTAGAGGAGAACTGTCTTTGTCTTTCTCCAGGGGCTATTTTTTGGTAAATCCCCTAAAGGATAATACTAATTAAACTTATACCCAATCATACTAGAGGATTCCATGATGGGTAATCCTCTATTATTGGGTATATATTGGGTCTAGTTAATTACCTGTAACAGTGGATGATGATGGTTCATTTGCAGGCTTCTTACAACAATGATGATTTGCTTGTTTACTGACTGGTTTACTGACAGACCCTAGGTAAGTTCGGATAGACCCTAGGTATGTATATAGGGATGCTTCGATGGAGCAAAGTCAACGTCTGAGATGCGAGGGACCCCGAGACGACTCGGGGTTGAGTCACCTGTCAACGCAGCATCCAAATGACTTGAAAACAAGACCAAACGACTTAATGAACCCAGGTACCCAAACTCAGAAGGTGGATCTATGGAACCAGCACCTTCCTCCTTATCCTCCTGGGGTTACCTGGTGTTCCTTCCAACCCATACGACGTAGGTGGATCTCCAGCCACACCTCGAAAGGAAGCTAGTAATGTACCAATCAATGGAGACGCGATCCGGCGACTTCTCAAACATCCCATTCCCAAACACGACCCATGGGACTGGGCATCTTGACCTACCTTGACCTACCTTGACACGACTAGGCTGGTCAACCACCCCCCTGTCGGCTGGTCGGTCGTGCAGGTGCCATGACGTGGGACGAAGAAGCCAAGAGACATTCGCTGGGACTGTGGACTGGCACTTCAATTCCTGGTCTTCAGATGGTCTTTGATGAACAGAAGGGGGCCGAAGAAGGACGGGGGGTCGAGTGGTGAAGCGAAGTCTGAAACGCAGGCGGTGGACTGGTGAGGGTAGTTTATTAATCCAGAAAGGGTGAGAACCATTTGATCAGAAATGATCATGGCGGCGCGTTTGAAATGTTTCAACAAAAAGTGAAGAGGTGGGTTTTTCCCCAAAAGCTTTGACGGTGATGGACGTATATTGCCAAGAACCATCATTACGTGATTATATAATCATGAATCACAATTACAAGGTGAACAAACTTTGACTTAGGCATCCTGAATCCTGAAACAGAATCATTGATTACCTCCATGCCACCATTCGCCTCTAGGAGCACTCTGTGTCCAGCTTTTTACTCGGAAAACCTCCGAGCCAGTCGCGCCCAGTGCTAGCACTGACTGGGCCTGCGCTGCCTTCAGTTCTCAGGGTTGGCCAAACGAATCGACTGAAAGAGGAGGCCCTGAAGAATTTGCAATGATCGTGCAACAAAGCTTCAGGGGTCGGATGGTGTCGAGCACTTCAGGTGTGGTGCAGCTCTTGTCTTAACAAACTTCCTGACTCGGGTCATCTGAGAGGGGATCTCAAGCCTTCGCAGGTTGAGGTTTTGGAAGAGCAGGTGCTTAGCAATCAATTTTTTGCAAAAGGTTGGAATCAGGTACGCCCAAGTTCCATATGACAAGGCCTTTACTTAGTTCACCTTGGGAGGTTTTTGGCGTTGCTCATTTAGTGGTTTCACATGGTTTCACTCTCTCTCCCAACCCACCCGTCCCACCCACCCTAAACCCTCCATCAGCATATCTCTCACCCCCTGCCGAGCATCGATAGAGCCCCGGCCCTTGGCCTTTCTGAAGCCGGCCCCGTGCTTGCCGCCCGTCTGCGTTGCCAGGATCACCAGGCGGAAGCTGAAGGGCTCCGCTTGGCCTTCCAAGATGCTTGGGAACACATGGGTGTGTATTAACATAGGGGGACCTCAGGACCTCCCAGTTTGACCCCTTGGAAGAAGGACATATAGACCAAACCATATCCCCAAACCCATGAGTTAGGGGTCTTCCATGGTCTAATACACACCCGCATGTTGCCCCGGTGTGGAAGAGGCTCATGTCCTTGTTTGGTCCATTCGGTGTCCCGAGTGCAGCACCGACGACGGCGAGCTCTGAGGATGTCACCGGAGAGCTCTTTGGGGTCGCAGGCGAGGTTTCGGTCTGAGGATGTCCCAATGAATTCTGAAAAAAAGGAACCTTAAACAATGAATTTAAAGGTTTCTGAGTATGTTCTGAGGATGTTCCAATCAACTCAGAAAGGTTTTTGTAAAGTGTTGAATATATTTTAAGGTGGTCCATGTTCATCGATGCGCCACTGGCGGTTTTTTCCCAGGTGGATTACACGCGAAAGAGGGCGTAGCATGTGATCACAATCATTCAGACTTCAAAAGATCAATTGTTCACGAACTTCTCAGGGGTTTCTCATATAGGGCTTGGTATCGCTTCCACTACTCGAAGGTTTCTTTTTCTGAGTCCATCAAGGTCCAAGCACACCACCTGCTAGGGCTCAAAGATCGGGTACCAATCATATCTCCCCCTTATCGTAATAGGAAACATATAGACTATATTAAGTTGCGCATGGTCTCATTATTGCATTGTAAATCTCTTAATTGTCTTACTGAGAAGCAAACGACCCCCGAACCTGTGGGCCATGAGCATCAGTCCCAAACGTCTGGCAGCCCCGTGTCCACCAACGAACCGGTCCCGCACTGAGTTCGGTCCCTCTCCGACGTCGAAACATGGCGTCGCCCAGACATGTCTGGGACTGGCAGTCCTGCCGAGACAAGGTCTCCGGGGACGGTTTGGAACGGCCAGGGCACAGGTCTGGCGTTGGCCCCAGTTTCCCTTCGGTCGTGTCGACGACGCCTGGGAAGTGCAGCTGAAACTCTGGGCTCAGGATCCGCTCCTGGTCGAATGCTTCGCAACAAGTCGGCGGTCGAAGAAGAAACGGGGTCTGGTCGGGCGGTGGACGAAAAGGGCCGTCCAACTCGGTCCGGTGGAGCGTCGTCTTCGATTCTTGACCGGGAGAGTTGGACCAAGGAGACGTGACACACCAATGTCACCTCCGGTCAGTCTTCGGTATGGCTGCACCAGGGCCACCCATGGTCACCCTGCACGCAATGTCTGAGTATTTGGAGTATGAAACATACATGTCCGTCTTACTAACGGCATGTCGCGTGTCTGATGGAATCGCATGTCTGTCTCAACGGAACAGTGAGGAGCTCCATCATGGAGAAAGAATGAGAAAGACAAGTATGTTGCATACCCTGGAAAATCCATGGGACTGGGACAAATCAATGGGACTGGCATATTATCAACATTAGGGTGATGAAATAGGGGTCAATTGTGGTCAGGGCAATGTATATATTTCACATGGAGTGTCAGTGTCTGGATAGTTAATGGAGTGTCTGTATCTTTATGAACTGACTCACTCTAAATATGTCCTAATCATGCCAAATAGCTGGACTTCAATGGACTAAATGTACTGTATCTAAATGTCTTAACACATCACCCAACATCTCCCGCAGGATCAATGTATCAAACCAACCCATACCAATCCAACCCCCCTCCCCATCCCCAGCGCCCGACGCCGCTACAACGAAGCGCGCGCCTGATGGGACTCGAACCGCGTGCCGTCCACGCACCAGCGCACCAGTTCCTGCGGACGCCGCGGTAGCGGTTTACTCGGGTTTGGAACTGCAGAGGCGTTCGCGGCGTTTGGAACTGCGGTTTCTCATGGACATGGCAAGTTGGATCAACCATGGAAGAAAACAGCATGGGTATTGACCAGAGCGCCGCTCTGGAAACCAGGTCAGACGTGTAACCGGAAAACCACTCTTTAGTGGAGGAGGCTAGTCTTCCGGTCTGGTCCATTTTCAAGTCTGTGTGCTGGCAGTCTTTAGGGGTTTATGGAATCCTCCAGACAACCGAACGAGTATAACAAAAGCAACATGGGATGAGCCGCCTGTCAAATCCATCCATTCCTCGGACATTTCTAGACTGTTTATCGTCCGTCGACTGCTGAAATTCCTCAGGTTTTTTCGACGAGTTGGGGGATTGGACGAGTTGTTTTGCCAATCGAAGGCCCTCGACAAGGCTTTGATACTTTTGATATGTGGGCTGCACTAGTAATATACATGTGGAAGGAGGGTCATTCTGTGTTGTTGTTGTTGTTGGAAAGAAACCAAAGGGTGCCCAACTCCTGCTTGATCAAAGGGTTGAAATGTTCCTGGAGGGAATGCCTCACAGGCGTTTTTTCCACCACAAACATACACAGGCACCGAAACCCTGTTGGCTTTAGCATTCCATCCCTTTTCTTCTGGATAGCTTCCCACCATCACCACCCTTTCATAGGTATCAATAGTTGGGTTGTTAGAGGAAAAATGGTCGAAAGCACCAGGAAAACAGGTTCCATCCCAGACACTCCATGGGACTGCCATCTATGCTTGGTTGACTGGGGGTGGTTGACTAGGGGTCCATGGGGCGGGCAGTCCGGACTCCCTCGACCGGTCGAGGCGTCCTTGTTGGCACCCATTTGGTGTGTCCTCAGTGGGAGAATCCCACAACCCCCCCCTGATCCGGTGCTCAAATGATATGGAATGAAAAGGGACTTGGGACTAGGGTTGACTCTCCGCCACGATTCTAGCAGGCCTCTGAAGAGAATGAGCTGGGGACCAGCAACATCGAAAAAAAAAAGAGATGTTTCTACCCAACTGGAACACCGAACAATACGGATGCACTTGAAAAGCTCTTCCCCTGCCACAGGGCCAAAGATTCTTTCAAACAAACCGTCTGCGATCGTCGGTTGACCTTTACCATGAAAAAGAAGCAAAGTAGAGGGGTTTTCACCTCTTTTCAGTATTTCACATGGGGCTGCTCAATCGGTGAGAAACCGTCACCAATCACAAATTCACCTACTCCGTGCTTGTTGAAACTGCCATTGCTTTCCTCCAACCGTCGCGGTCTCAGAACGCAGTCGTCTCCACCAAGACACTCCAGGGCCCCAGGTCTCATGGACGTGGACTTGGAAGACTCCTAAACAGGGAAACGTGTTGCACACAGATTGGACCAAGCGTTTCACTCAAGAAAACAGAGATGAAACGCCTAACACATTGTGCCAAACGCACCACACAACTCAAAGACTGGCGCCAGCGAACGACCAAAACAACTTGCAAGACTGGAAGCTTAGTGACTAAAGTGTTAGACTCGAGGTTCTGTTTGTTAGTGCAACTCCAGGCACTGCAAAGAAACACAAAATACATCCAATGGACAGAAATAGAACAGCAAACCGGTCTTTTTGAATGAACACATCTTAAATCTAAAGTCAAAACACTAAACACATCAAGAACAAACAAATACAACAGTGGCCACATTTGCTCTCATCTCCTTAGGGCTCTGTGTTGGTGAGACGCTTCCCAGGAGGCCTGACGAGGTGGACCAAGTGCCAGAAGTCACGTTTGACGGGGTGCCGGTTCCGAACGGAGGGTGCCGTCGGGGTGCCCCTGTCACATCCACTCACTGGATGTGACGAACCAAAATCCACCCAACTCCATGTGACTCCCGGTAGAGGTAACTGTCTATGTTGTTTTGTTTTCAACCATCCTGTCTATTTTTCTCCAGCTACTGTCAGCGCAAGCACGCAAGCGTGATGCTGCCGCACGAAAGTTCTGCAAGATTCTCTAGGACCTGTGAATCGGTTTGTCGTTCTAAATATTCCAGTCCCATGCCCGAAGCACTCCATTTTGTAGCCTGTGCTCCGGTTCTATTGGTCAATGTATATATATAGGTATGAACTATGAACCTACAAGTATCATGCATTGAGTGTCTGTTAATAGACTGTCAGAGATGCTCAAGTTCATTTCCTATGGTTCGCTTTCCCGCGATCTTCGAGGGTGTACGCCGGATGTGGCCAGAAATCGTCCAACCTCAGGAATTGAAGGGGTGCCCTTCGTCACCGTGCTGTTGACTTCTTTCGTTCGGTGTTCTGGGTCACGGCGTTTGGTTAGACCCCTGAGCTGGAGACGAAGCTGATCCCTGAGCTGGAACACCCGTTCTTGAGTGGAGCAATCCACCAACAAAAAGGTTGGTTGATTTCCACCATTGCTGAAACCTACCTGTGAAATCTTAGCGAAACTTGATCACTGTAAAAAGATCAGGGTTCAACAATAGCAATTTTGAACCCTGTGTCCCGAGGTTGTTGATGGGTATTTTATTGATTTTTATTGTAGCTTGCCTTGTTGCTTCCTCTCTCTCCTCTACCAGTTGTAGTTGGTTCAGAGTCGATAGGAACCTTGGATTTGGACCTGAGCTAGCTCACCAATCTGCAGCCCAAACCAGGTGAGCCAGCTCAATCCGCATGAGCTCACCGAGATGATCTGACGAACAACTCCAGGTCAGATTCGCTTTTCAGGTCAGATCCCTGGACCGTCGTAGATGATGCCGTCACACCACAACGCGGTTCTGCAGAACTAAAAATCATGTCACACCACAAGCGGGCTTCGGGTCAACATCCAACAGACTCGTTTTCTTTAAAAAGAGAAAACAAACACCTCGAAAAAGAAAGAACAGGCTTTGATATCCAAACTGCTGGAGGTTGGTTCATCGACATTCTACATCTAACCCTTTTTGAGGTCATCGGAGTCATCATCGTAAGAAGCCGCTTCCTCTGAGCCCCGGGCGAGGATAGCTGTTGGAAGGCGACAACGGTGGTGTGAAAGGTGGAGAGCCCCTTGTTGCCAGCGAGGCTGTGGATCGCCGGGAGATCCAAAGGCGCCGAGCGGCGAGGTGCCCGTGTCAACCAATAACAACCAACCGAACCAAGCAAGCAAACCAAACCAACCAACCAACCAAACAAGTAAATGTCCAATATACAAATAAGCAAACAAGCCAAAAAAACAAAGCAAAGCAATGTCATCGTGGTGTTTGTGAAGCAAAGCACACGAGAATTTGCTAAGAAACACAACGCTAAAAGGCTCACGGCGAGTAAAAAGGGCACTGTGAGCAAAAACAACACACCAATCAGCTATATCGATCGATGCATTCCAGAATATTCGAGGCGTTCCTCCTATTTATAGTGTGTTTTTGATGTTTTTTGATCAATCAAACATAATCGAACATCATAAGTCAACTTTTCTGCCAGGTTTTTGAAGGGAACGAGATCGTCTGGTGCCATCTGTCCTTCGCATTGATTGCCAGGAAAGGTCTTAGGTCTTTGGTGCGGGCACTCACCGTTCTTTCGGTGTGACCAAGCACAAAAAGACTCCTTGAAACATTCCTTTCTAAAGAAGTATTGAACTGAATAATGTCAATTATTCCTTTTCAATTCCTTTTCAATTCGTGTTTTGAAGTATTGAACTGTCTAAACACGAATTTGACACGTTTGCAGAGCGGACACGGACACGGTTTTGCCGAAAAAACATCGAATTGCTTGGTGGATGGAACCCAAGGGCAATGCGAAAGCCACGTGAAAGTCATGTGGATCCTGAAATCATCATGGGCCAACATGGAGTGAGTGAGTGAGTGGGTGAGTGAACACCACCTCAACCGGACTCGTCTTCTGGATTGATTGAAAATGGTCATCCCGCATCGGAAGCTCCTGTTCATCCGCTGTTCCACGTAGTACACTCCGGACTGGCATAGGACTGCCGCCCAGTCGAGGGGCGGTTGACTGGGGGTCACGGAGTGTGTCATGGAGTGTGTCTCACGGATTCCATATGACTTCCGACTTCTGCGTCCGCACGGATTCCAAGAGTTTTCCGACCTTTTTTTGATTCGCTTTTTCTCTGAAGCCTATCATACAAACCCTTAAAGAAGCCTAAGCCTATCTGGCACTGCCGAAGTGGAAAGTCCTAGACTCGGGTCATCTGGAACAACAAATGGTCGACTGGCAAACTTATACAAATATGTTTTCGCTTCACAGAGTGGACAAGGGATGACAAGGGCAATGGAGAACCAATTTCCCACATGAATTCGCCATGCTCTCAAGAGGCTGAAACTTTCAAACATGGCTGAAAGTTTGACCCATGACATGGGAAACTGCATTTAAACAAAAAGACTTTCTGGGTGGCTCAAACACTCCTTTCTTTTCTGAAACGCCTGTCAGTTTGACCCACCCAGTCCTTGAGCCATGGCCACGACCGGTTCCGTCGAGCAACGGGACGGCCAGCGCCACTGGCACCGTTAAGAGCGAGACCATCGCAGGTGCCTGTGGCTGCGCTGGTGCCTGCGGCGACTGCGAAGGGGATCATCACCCCACATGACTTCCAACAAAATAGAGCCAGCCACAGTGGTACAAACATATACATCTGATATAGAATTATAGTTTAGTGGAACTATTTGTTAATGGGATAAAATCTTAAACACTGCATTTGTCACTATATATATTATGACTATGTTTGGGTAAAGAAATGATCCTTGACGGTGTGATCAACACTTAGGAAAACTGAATCTGAGAGTTACGTTCATCACAACATATCAAGAAACATGATTTCCTGCATTCAGAACAGCACGCATTGCTGGAAGATTCAGCGCAAATACACTGCTGATCTGGCGATTCTGCTCCATACACTGATCCCTTCAGATTCCGCTCGCCAGCAGAAAGCACTCCACCCCGAAATGGGAAAACAACGGTGTGTGGAACTCAGCCCAATGGACCAGCCGGCATCAATCAGTCTCTCATCATCTCTTTGGCCGCCCGCACCTGGAAGGCTTGTGCGGCCGCCAGGGTGGGTGAAGGTGGAGAGATGCTGGGCTGCACAACGACAGGTGCCACAGGTGGTGACTCCTGGCGCACCATCTCCTGCCACTCCTGAGGAAGCATCGTCACGTCGGGGGGAAGCGCGGGGTGTTTTCGCCGTAGATCGGAGGTTCGCCGGAAAGGGCACAGCGGTGGAATCTACGGCGGGCAAACACAGGAAGGGAGACCCACTTGCTCGCGAAGTGACCAGGGTTCCATTAAAGGTCAAGTAGGACATCAAAGGACAATTTGATGTATACTGTATATTTATCTAATCATTATCTATCTATCCATCCATCCATCCATCCATCCATCTATCGATCTATTTATGTATTTATGTATTTTTCTTTATTTGCTAATTTATGTGTTCATTGGTTTTCTATCTATAGATCTTTCTATCCTGGTAGTTATGAACTGAGCTCTGGCCCAGTGCATACAATTGATCCACTTCACTGCCAGTATGGGTGTCAGCCCTGGTCAGTACAGCGGCTTCTTGATCTTAAACAGCACACCTGACCTTCACAGTCTGACTGACAAGGAAGATTCAACATCCAAATCTGGAGGCTATTGAAAAGCAGATGATTTAAACATGCATTTCCCACAACCAGAAAACATTGATTTTGATGAAATCACTGGGGTCTTGATCTTCTGCTAAGTGGGCATCATAAACCTAATTATTATGTTTAGATGTTCTTATTGATTGTTTTTATTGATCTTTCTATTGATTTTGATGATCAACCGCATAATAGTGATATTTATCAATCTATTGATTTGCAAAATCAATTTGAGACATGGGCAATTTGCGAGGCTCAGGGTACCAACATATTGAGGCTCAGGGTACCAACATATGATCAAGGTCTTCGGCGGGTGTTGTTGTCCACCAACGGTGTGAGGTGGTGTGTGAGCTTGGCGACCAGGTGGGTCAGGAATCGGTTAACACGACGACGACGCTGAGCGCGCGCATGTAAGACCAGGTTCCACGCCTCTGGGGTTGTGGTTGTGATGACATCTAAATCCGATCCAGTCGCTCAAACCCAAACGCCCGGACCCGAATGCGGAGAGGTCCGGGGCTTCGAACCAATGCCCGGAGGGACCGGAGTATCGGCCGAGCACCGGAGTCTCACCCGAACATGGGTAATACAGAACGACGACAGTCGTACCTGGGGTCGTATGGGGTCATATGTCCCATGTTCTATGGTATATGTACTTTGGAGGGTCCAGGTATAGAACTTTACTTCGCAAGTTGCACCAGTTTTGACATATTTCGATACAATCCTCATCTGATGAAACAAGAATATCCAATAAAATCGCTCGAGCAAATCTTGCCCAGGCCTGCGCCGGCCTATTGTTCAGTGAAGATAACGTAACAACTATCATGATATTAAGTGTGTCTTTAGGTGATGTATCCTTTTTAATCCTTTTTACTTGTTTACATCATGTTTACCAACCCCTGTACAGAATCGGCAGACTCCATCCCATTCCCTTCTTCACCATCGAACCATCCCATGACTCACTCCCTCTCCCGACCCTTCGCCGCCGTAGGCCCCTCCGTTGGACGCCCAAGCATCCCAAAGGTCCGGCGTGGCCGCATGGAGCAACTTCGGCCGCCCGGACGCTCCCAACGCGGCGCGGCTGGGCGCCGCGGGCGCCTCGGCGGCGGGCGCCGCGGCTTGCGCCGCCGCCGCCACGGCGGCCTTCCTGAAGGCGGTCGGTGGGAGGGTCGGTCGAATCCAGGTTTCCACGCTTGAAACTCCATTGGTACGGCAGCAAACAGCCGTAAACAAGATGAAATAACAAGGCATTGCAACAAGCAAGTTTTTTTTCTCACTGATCTTTTGCCTCAATTTGAGGGTTAGTTCAGGTCATTTTGGGGGGGAATTGTCGGGATTGAAACTATGCATATTGTTGAATGTCAACATAGGATTAACCACCCCCCTATTAATCAAGCCCAGCTGGAGCCTCCAATACTAAACTAATTACAACCTCCCCCCTGATAATGTGTGTTCCTTGCCAGAACCCCCTCCTATTAATCAAGCCCAGCTGCAATAGAAAACACACAATATAACTGTATGCATATGTTTTGTGTTTATTTACTGTCTTTTTTGCAAGTATTCAATATCCACCAATCATCAATTATTATATATCATTATCATCGTCCTTTTGCCTCTCATCCTGCTTTTTTCTTCTCATCCTTCCCTGTTAAAATCCAAAAAACTTGCTAGCAAAATTCGTTCATATTCCCTTATAAAAACTCTATCAACATCTTAAGGCTTTCAAGCTCACAAAGGGTACCCCCCCTCTGGCCTCCATCTTGTTTTCCATCTCTTTCATCCCGCAATCCTCTTTCTTTTCCTAATCATCCCAATAAAGAATCTTGTCTTCAAATCTCTTTCATCTCTTTCCTAGTCATCCCAATCATCCCAATCCCAATCTTTCCCAATCTTGTCCTCATCTCATCATCCATCATTCATCATCAGGTCATCATCTTTATTAAGGGGATGTGGTCTCCAATCCCTCCAATCCCAAACCTTGTTGACCTTGTTGACCTTGAAGGGGGGGGGAGGTTGATTAATCCTACGTCGACATTACTTTGTTCACTCATGAACAGCTTGTTAGAAACAAATCAACTTTAAATACACGGATCAAGCATCATTGATTACCAGGACATCTTGGCTTCAGAAGGTCTGAGCCCAGAATCGAAACGATTCGCTAGCTAGGCCAAGGGGGCGAACTACGTATACATACCGGGTGACCCGACTTAGACCATACGTAACGTACCTGACTGCGAGTACCTTAGAACATAGAACATGACCCCGAAAAGAACAGGTAGCCACTTTCCGAGCTACGATTTCTGGGTGGACTCCAGCGTATAATCAACGGTGTTTTGTGCTTTGAGACTCGCCTATTTCGGAAAAAAAACAAAAACAGCAACTATAAAACGAACTAAGACCATTGTCTCGGATTGAAACAACTAAGACTGCTCCCTGATTGTTTTTGTTGTCCATGAACATTTCAAGGGAAGGCAACAAAGAAACCTTCCAGATGGAACCACGACAAAAAGGTCTCTACATTCCTCTCCAAGTGACTCTTCAGCTTCTTCAGCCTCAAGACCTTGTGAAAAAGGAACCCGTGGTGTTTTTTTTTGCGGAAAAACACACAAAACACCGGTCAACCAAACCCATGAGGTCTTTTGTTTGGTGAACGCCTTAGGTTTTCCTGAGAGTCCTCTCCATTGGTTAAACAAAAACACCGAACAACTCGAAGGTTCACACCGAACCCTTTCACCGGTTCTTGTCGTTCTATCGATCAAGCATCTCCACCCCCAAAACATCCCAAAACCATACAGGAGCGGTCGGTGATCCAGCGAGCCGGAGCTAGGGGTCAATTGAGTCGCAACCAACAAAAACTGCTAGCAATGGACTCAAACCTACTAGCAATGGCTTCCAAGCTTGTTTTAAAATCCTGATCCTAAGGACAAATGATCGCAATTCCAAGCGGCGGTCTCTTTGTCAGCTATATGCACTTGATTCTGTGCTAGAACCTGTACTAACTATGCTGTGTTTTACAAAATGAACAGCACCATGTGGTCAACTGGTGACTTTGAAGAAGTATTTCACATCATTTCACAACTCTTGACCGACCATTTTCTCATCACAGGAATCGAACCATGCTTTTTTCACCATGCCATGCTTTCGACGCACGTTCATCGCGTCCTGTGGTTCCTAAAGTTCCGAGACCCCACTTGGAACCTGAAAACCAGACGTGCCCGGTTTGTGTGGTGGAAGCGCTCGCGCCAAACAGTCTGGTCCATGCTTTTCATCCAGTTCCGGGTCTCAAAGCCACCGGGTGTACCCAAGACCCCGGGTGCGACTGTGGTCGCTTGGAACACGACCGACTGCGAACCGTGACCGTGTTTCCCGGAATCATTCCCGGTCGCACGTCGTGGACTATCCGAGACGACAGCGACCGAGAAGCAAAGGGTGGGACCGATCAGGCCAGGGTGGGACCGATCAAGCCAGGGTGGGACCGATCAAGCCAGGGTGGTTGATTGTCTTTCTGGGGTGGCATATACTGTATTATTTCAGCCCATTGGGTCGTGTCGAGATCAGTGGTTTGTCAGCAGACGAACGCACGTTTTCTTTGGGTGCCGACAGCGACAGCGATTCAGGTGGTCATGCGAGTGACACAAAAAAGCTCACCAGGAAACATGTCCACCCAAAGTATCTGCGATGGGGGAACTCGCGACCGTAGAGGAACATTATGGACATGAGAGATCAGCCGGTACAAGAGCAAGACCTACCAAAGACCTACCAAGACCAAGACCAAAACCTATAAGTCTGGTAACATTGGACCAAGACCTACCAAAGACTGTGGGACAAAATGGAAATCATCAAACCTGCATCGCAGTTCGTTCACCACCGGAAGGTTCTCTTGTACCAAACGGGTTGAATGAAAGAGCCACCAAGTCAAATGTGGTGCCAAGGTCTAATTCCAGACATAAATACAAAACAGCATATCATATACCCTCCCCAAAACGAACATAGAAACTGGCAGCCCACTAGCCTTAAAACATTGTGATGTTAGTTGTTGTGAGCGAAAACAACTCACACCTTTGGCCCTCACACCCGCCCAGTGGCCTTCAGCAAGGGCAGCCTCGGCGAAAACACCGCGCCAGGTGCCTACATATATTTCAGTGGAGAATGTGGAATATATACTTGGAATTCGTTATGAATGTGTTCTCACGTGAGAAAAAAAAGAAACATCATCACTCATTCCTGGATCATATCCTTGCACTGACATTTTCTAACTGCTTTCGCCTGATGAACCTCAAAACCGACATCATCCCTTCAACCGGCATCTCATGGAGGTCCAAATAAGCTTGAGAATGAATTGGTCTACTCGCAGGTTGGTGGCGCGTGCATTTTCCATGGTGACAGGGCTCATGCGAACTTGCTTCGGCTGCCGGGCCACTAACAAAACATTCGGGAAGGTGGAAATTCCCTGATTTGCCCCAGTTGGACCGGGGGGGAGTCTTGCTTTTGAGGTGCCCAGGCCCCCAAAATGTCCGATCAAAGAGAATAGAATGATCATTCATTCATGATAATCCGGAAGCAGTCTGATGACCTGGCTGGCCCAGGAGAAGTGATACACCTGGCACTGGATATATGGTTTCAGGCACAGGATGGTCAATGGTCATAGCACACTCCAATTCAACAACATGGAAGTTGAGCATAGCCCCTGGAAAAGCGGTGTTTCCGTTGTGTTCCATTCTCTTCTTCAACAGGTTTCTTTGCCACCTTCATGCTGGTGACTGAGACACAGGGTATGCCCTTTTTGCGTTCATCCAACATTTCAACCTTCTCAGTTTCGAGAGAAACTACACCCGGGAAGAGACCCACATGAGCGTCTGCCAAAACGTACAATCAAAGGACATGATTCAGTTATCGCTTATCGCTTTTGCAGGTTTTAGCCACAATGTCAACATAGCAGAACATATCCAACAACTGCGGAAATAGGGTTATCGCTTTTGAGGGGGGGCTTATCGCTTTGGTTGCTCACATGGAACCTGAAGATGGACCAGACTGGAAGACTATTGTCCTCTACTGGGTTGAGTGGTTTTCAGGTTCCATGTTCGTTTTTTGGAGTGTCGACTCCAAGAGTTTCCCTGTGTGTCCGACCCTCAAATCCATCCCAATCCATCCGGGCTGCCAGATCCCAGGGCTCCGGGGTCTCAATCCCTGGGGCGCGGAGCTGTTCCGAGAAGATGTGGCATGGTCGTGCGTGACATGGGTCGGCAACGAACCATCTGGGCATGGTTCGGAAGCATTGGACCTGCTGGGTGCCTTTTGAGAAGAAAGAAGCGATGGAGCAGTTTATATGATACATATACACATGATGTATTTTGCCTGAGCTGGAACTGCTTGTCTTTTTGCAACATCTAACCATCATGTCTAGCCATTCTTGATCATCACGATATCGGATGCAACATGAGTTCTTCCATGGCAAACCCCAAGAGATGGGAACTTCGGACCAAGGGCGAAGGCCCACGAAGGTCGTGGTGGGGCTGGTTTCAGGCCCACATCCCAGCACCGATCGATCAATCGAAGCATAAAACGGCTCTTTTTCCATGTCTGTTTGGGAGTGAAGAAAGAGTTTTACAAGCATTACATCTCCTAAATCCTTGAAACCGTAAACCTCGTTCTTGTGAAACAGTTCACAATCCCACTCACGACTGTGCAGACCTCTCATCTGCAGTGCAACCTGCATGTTTTGAAGGTTGTTTTCGAGTGGTTCCGCTCCAAACACAAGGAATTGCATACATAAAGCATAAAACGAGCCAAACTTTCCAGCAAACTGGTTGAAGACAAGCAAGTCCCCCAACGCACAGGGGTTGACCTGTGATGTGAACGACTGATATGTGCTTGAGGAAAACAATTATTCTCTGTATAATCTGCAGATTCCTATCAATTTGGGATTGACCTCCGAGGGAAAACTATCAACTCACCCCATCAGCAAAGCCAGGACAACAAAGCTTCATACATGGGGGACATTTCAGATCCAAGCATTCCAACAGCGGCTGGCTCCTTCTTCTTCTCACAGGACCGTGTTAGGGTGCTGTGTTAGATACACATTCCCAGCTACTATGACTATGACAATTGCTGCACCCTCCTTAGGTGGAAACTGGTATGCCAGGGGTCCATCTCTTCCATCGTGGCAAGCAGGGTAGGTCACGGCGTCAGTCTTCGTGGCTCACAGCTGACGAGTCTAACCCAAACCATCTCAAACCTGCTCTGGCTGAGGATCTTTGCTTACCAGTACGGCCAACAGTAGCAGTAGCACTACCCCGCCCCTCAACTGGCTTCTCTTTTTGACTTCCTGTAGCGATTAGGGCCGATAGAAAACAAGTGTCTTTTTGGGCAAAGATGGCGCAACAGCTACGTTTCAAGCTGAAAGCACCTGGAGGCCAATTCAACCATATCTTCCCAACAAGCAACAATTATCCTGACATCTTAACCTCAGGTCCCGTCGCCACTACTCACACCAAATGATATGTGCTTCCCTTTTGACTGCTTTGCCTGGTCTTCTTGGCTTTGGTGGGGTAGAAACCATCTTTTCCTGCTCGGCAGCGAGCTTCATGATAAATCAAGTTCTGGGAAAAACTATGATAATCAAATCATCATATTCACAGAGCCCCTGCCTTTAGGGGCTACAATAGTAGTAGGTCCAAACTCTACTAAACTCCGAATCCGAACGGCCGCATTTTGGGATACTGCCTCTTCTGGCTCTGATTCTTCTGGCCCACCAAAATCCAAAGGAGCACGGCCCATGGTCGGTCGCCAGGTGACGGTTCAAGGTTGGCAACGTTCTCAAGAGCTTCTTGACCTGGCGCGCTGCGGGGCACCTGATGTTGTTTGGACGCGAATAAAAGGGATGTCTGCTGCATGGGGGATGTCTGCCGCATCAAAAATATTTGCGGAGCGGCTCAAGAGAAGCCTCCAGCTTCTGATTTTGGATCGTGTTGGGGCCTGCGAATTCTACAGCATGGAAGCCATCGAAACTACAGTTTTTTTCGTCTCGCGAAAAGCTTGCAAACACAGCCACAGTCTCGTGGGTTTGGAAGATGAGAATCTCCAATTTGTTCTTTCCGCTGCTGCGTGGAAAGCTCCCCCCATCAGTTTTTTCAGCCGCTGTGTGGGAAGCTCCCCCCATCTGCTGTTGGCACGTGAACATGTCAATTCCCTACTCGCCATCCGTCGTTTCATCAGGATTTGAAGCAAAAGGATGCTATAAACACAACAGTGGGATTGGCCTTTGGGGCAAGCTCGGGCATGTTCGCAAAGCTTTTTCTCACGAAGTGACTACTGCAAACAGAGTAAAACACACAGGAAGGATGATGAGTGAGACTTGTTTTGTTGACACGGAGCCAAGAACAAGCTTTGACATGCTTCAGACCACATGTGGTGAAAACGCAATCTGCAGGATACATGACTTGCGGAGTGGAACATATGACTTTCTCACGGTTCTGTTGGGTAACCTCTGTGGAGACATTCAGCTCAAACATCTCAGACATCTCACCTTCCGAAGGCCACATCCATCTCTCTTCAGTGTGTCGTGGGGCCTCGTGGGGACTGTCCGTCTAGTTCGTCTAGAACCTTCGATCTTCCCCCCCAGGGCTTTTTCGATTCCTTGAAGCGTCTGCGCTTGGACTTGTAGAACCCAGGCCGCGGCGGCCGCGGGCATCACTCGCGAATCGCCATGTTAGTTTCTGCCTAACGGAGCATTACGGTGTTCAGTTCTTTTTCCTGTTTGTGTGTGTTTTTTACATCGCACGGTAAATAAAACTGAAGGTCCGCAAATACCTGCGACTGACTCCTCTTTGTTCTTAGAAACACTCCCCAAAAACACCCACAACTACCGTCCAAGTCCCACCCCAGGTTCCCAACCGTCTTCTCTTCTGGTGCAGTGTCTTCAATGACCTGCGCAGGGCACGCTGGACGATGAAGTGCGTTTCCCGCAGCGGGCTGGCAGCACCTGGACTTCCAAAAAGGATCCCTTAGTCTTGGGTCGACTGCTTAAGCCACTTGTTACACTTGTTTTTTTTTCCAGTTGACATATTGTAAGGAGTACCCAAACAATCCATGTATGGAATATTGGGCTACCTGAGTCAAGGTTATTTCAGTCCCATGGCATGTTTGGGCTAAAGACCATCTTCCGATCCTGCCTTTTGACATCCTTTGACAACGCTTTGGACATGACGGCCATGGCACCCGCGAAACCAATCCCGTCGGACAGTGGCACCAACAACCTGTTCTTGCAGCTGTAAAAAAAATAACATACATGTTGATCTTTCCTGAGTACCGGGTGCTGACTACTTTGCCTGTGGATCACAGACATAAATTTGGTTTACATCCATGAACTCGCTAGACTCTAGACCAATTTCTCACCAGGCAACGTTAACCACAACCACAAATCACCACAAAACAAGGCTGACAAGGTTGACCGACCCATATGTTGCCCCATCAACAACCAAAACCGCCCGTAAACAAACACAAACAACGTCTCGGTAGGGGAACATGTCATCATGTTCATCGAAGGTTGTTGTGGCCCTGGGGCCAACTGGGTGTTTTATATTGTTTCCTTTGGCTTTGCAGGGGGTAAGGAACCCACAGATCCACTGAACAAGTCCAACCCTCCCTCTCAAATATCCAACCCTTCGAAACAAATGTTCATGACCTTCTCAGCCTTCTCCGGTTCTTCTTCACCTTGCAAAGGAAAAAACAGTGTTTCGCTCCGGTCCTGTGTTTCACCGTCGAATCATCAGGATCTGTCATCTGTCGTCGGCACCATGATAATCATGGCGCCGTCAAACAACTATCATGATCGGTTTTCATCGGATTGCTCCACAAGGGCAACCAAACAAAGCTGCATGCAACCAATCTCGTTCCGAAACTGAACGAGGTTGCCATGATCAATGTGAACACAATACTATGAAGTTCACATGTTATGCGCAACGAATATAGGGAATTTGGTTCGAAAACTTAAACACCAACACTGTCTCTGTTCGGACTGAACACGCATTCTATGATTTGGAACTGCCAAACAGAAAACACCCGCAGACACACACATTGTCGCAATGATGCCTGCAATTTTGCCAATGCGTGGTTTTGAGTGCCTTCACGACCTTTCGCCAACCCACTTGCACCTGAAACATCCTCCTCTTCCTCCTCAGCCTCCAACTCCTCCAGATCCTCCAGATCGATCGAACCGGAATGGCCTACAAAGTCATGATGCCGCGGACTAGGACAAACATGTTCCAAGACGAATCAGACGAAAGTTGATCTTGATCTTGCAAGGGTAATTCGAGTTCATGGGGCGTTTGGAGCTAGTGCTAGGCATGCAAGACATGCAAAACAAAGCCAAGGGTTGGTGTTTGAGTTATGCAGATTAGTTGAGACTGATAAAAACCAGAGTCGCAAAGCCAGTGTGGGTTGGCTACCCTGTCAATGTTGGAGTTTCCCACACCCTGCCGTCCACAGGCCTCACGTCCAACAGGGGCAGTCTGAGCCCTCTGCAGCTTCTTCTTTCCTTGGGGAACTTCTGAAACCTGCAAAAGCAGTGGCAAAGTCCTGTGTGGTCCCGTGCACGTCAGCTCACGCAGCACTTTTTGCTGGTGTACACCGCCAGTGGGCTCCGGCTCTCTCTCTTTCGCACTTGACAACGCCGTGGGGCGAGGCGATCCGATCCGCTAGGCGAAGTGACCAAAACGGGTCAAACCTAAGCCTTGGAGGTCTTGTATATCTCCATCACTTCAAGGCGGCAACACATAGAGGATGGCCCGTGGAGGGCGTTTCTTAGATTCAGGCTTGCGGTTAACCCATTTTGCACGGAGAGAGCTTTCCTCTGTGGTCGAAACTTGACTTGCAATATGTTTGTTGACACCGGCACCCTCTCTTTATGATTCTTCGTAATCTATCTATTTGGGGACTACGGACTACTACAATTGTATCACCTTGCTGGAGAATCTGCTGTTCTTCTGGTTTCCAAAATTCAATGAACTACCTCTGTTTCTTAATTGGGATATCCGGGATATCACCATCCGTACTTGCTGGATAATCATGACAAGCACCTGCCAAACAAAGCATCATCAAAAGTACTAAACATCACATCAACTCTGTCTTAGTATATATAGATCTGGTGTTTTTCTATCCATAAAGCATGACCAATTCATCTATAATATAGACTGTAATATACACCCTGCACACCGCTACACCATCCTCTCCCCCCAACAAAAAGCAACAAACATCCACCATCCTGACCCGGTCCGCGCTCTCAGCGAGGGTTTTTTTCAGCGGTGGAGCTGGATCTTCGGCGAAGGACATGTGTTCACCGAATAGCCTGGAAGAGCCTCCGTCCAAAACTCGAGGTGAAAACTGTGTGATGTTCCTTATTTTAGTGATAGTGCACCCAAGAAACAACTCCAAGTCGCACATTTCGTGTTGTTTAAAGACAGAGCACGAGGTTTCTTTATACTTGCTTTATATATACGATATATATATATATATATATATGGGTGTGGCCAGAAACCCTGGTATGGATCGTTCCGCGGTGCAGTGAGAGTGATCCAAACCCTATGGATCAGAGCGCTGATCCAAGCCCTATGGATCAAACCGACAAGTCACTTGATCCAAGCCCCCGACATGAACACATCTGCATGGTGGCACTTCACCCCACCACTTTCTCACCAATTCACTGTGAAGGTGGTGGCTTCCCAGATCAAAGCCATCCTGTTTGTGGCAAGCCTGTTTTGAAGTTCTGGCCGCTGTGAATTTGGGCTCCACTGTCCACATATTGGGCATGGTTGGGTGTAGAGTGGTGGCAATGAGTGTTGGGTTTCATTCTTTCTCCAACTCAAGCAGACGACGCAAGAAGCCCAAAAAGGCCATCAGCTGGCCACGCATATTGGTGACTCAGTGGGCTCTCAAGACATTTAACAGGTGGTGGCTTCAGCTCTAGATTGGAGGCTCACGAACACTGGTTAGTGGCTGCCGCTAATTCTGTTTGGCCTTGATATTGTGTCCTAGCACCTTCTTTAATATGGCTTATTTGGGTTGGCTTCTCTCGGTTTCTAATTTTTCAATTCGACAGTGTGAGGGTTCGAGTCCCGGCTGTGACCACACGTAGGGGCTTCCGGTAATTAATTTTTGGGTGGAATGGGAAGTCAATTTGAAGTTGAGCCTAGTGGCTTCCGCTAAATCTGTGGTGGTGGTAATACTGGTGATAGT